AAGGTTGGGAGCGGCGGAGGCGGCGGGGGTGCGGGTGGGGTAGTGGTGGAGGCGGGTCGTCCGGTGCCGGTGCGACGTGGGGACCCTGCCCGGTCCAGCTGCCCCGCTGCCTCCACCGTTGCAGCAGCAGCAGTCGCCGCAGCCGCAGCAGCCGCCGCAGACGAGGCCGGCGAGTGCTCTCCCACCTGGGTGGCCTGGAGCTGGTGGTGGTCGTGCGCGTGGTGGTGCACCGGGTGGTGGTTCTGGAGGCGGGCCCTGTCAGTACCAGATCCAGACCGGTCCTCGCCGCGGCTTCGTTTGCGGTAAGATCGGTCATTCTACTCCTCGCTGTTTTCGTCGTCTGGACGACCTGTTCCGCCAGCGCTTTGGCCCGGCGCCCGACCTCCCGGACTGGCACAGCTTGCTTAGGCGTAGCATTAGGATTTTTGACTTGGACATGGATGCCATTGTAGCAGCCTTGCATGTGATGTATGCTGATGACTCTAGTGTGCTTCCCTCTTATTACCCCGTGTTGCCTAGTGTAGCGGTGCCTAGCGTAGACTCCCCTGCTGCGTCAGGCGTAGGATCTCCTGCTTTGCTTAGCCTTGGTGCTTCCACCGCTTCACTGCCGCCTCACGCGACTGCTGCGCTTTCCTTCACCTTGGACTCTGGCGCCTCCCGGTGTTTCTTCCGCGACTCCACGACGCTGACGCCGCTGCCTGTTCCCGCTGCCGTTACTCTTGCTGACCCCTCCGGTGGTCCCGTCGTTGCCCGCAGTTCCACCTCCCTTCCCTGTCCGGCGGTTCCTTCAGGTTCGCTCACCGGTCTGCATATCCCCTCGTTCTCCAGGAACCTAGTTGGTGTCGGCTGCCTCCAGGACCTTGGCGTCACCACTACGTTCCCTGGTCACGAGCGGTATGCTGTCTGTACCGAGGCCGCCACTGGTGCCCCCCTTACCACTTTCCCCCGGGACCCGGTGTCCGGCCTGTTCACTCTTGACACCGCGACGTCCCCGGCTGGGTCTTCCCCCCCGGTAGCTGCGTCCACCCAGGTTGCTGCCGCGTGCTCCTGTCGGTCCCTCACTCACCCGACTCTCCTTTGGCACCACCGCCTTGGTCACCCTGCACTCCCACGTCTGCGTCACATGTCCCAGCACGGTCTCGTCCTTGGTCTCCCCGGTTCGTTCCCCGAGTTTCCCTCCTCCCCCGCCCCACGTGCACGCCTTGTGTCGAGGGCCGGCTCCGCCGTGCCCCTCACTCCTCCTCTTTTCCCCCTACCACCGCACCACTGCAGACTCTGCACATGGACGTCTGGGGCCCAGCCCCGGTCCATGGGCCGCGTCGCGAGCGCTTCTTCCTAGTGCTTGTCGACGACTTCACGCGCTACACCACCGTCTTCCCCTGGAGCGGAAGGCCGACGTGCCTGAGGTTCTCATCCCCTGGCTTGTCTCTGCTCGTGTCCACCGCGGTCTCCCTGCCTTGCGCCTCCACTCCGACCGGGGTGGCGAGTTTGCCTCAGGTGTCCTTGGTCGCTTCTGTCGTGCGGAGGGCATCACCCAGACGTTTACCCTGCCGGACTCCCCGCAGCAGAATGGGGTCGCTGAGCGACGCATCGGTTTGGTCATGGAGGTGGCTCGCACCTCCATGATCCACGCCGGTGCACCCCATTTTCTGTGGCCGTTCGCCGTGCGCTACGCCGCTCACCAGCTTAACCTGTGGCCGCACCCCCAGCGGCCGCAGGTTTCGCCGACCCTTCTGTGGACCGGGTCCCCTGGTGACGCGTCTGCGTTCCACGTCTGGGGCTGCCTTGCCCACGTCCGTGCCTCTGGCACGGACAAGCTCACTGCCCGCACCCTCCCCTGCGTCTTCCTCGGTTTCCCCCTTGACGCGTCCGACTGGCACTTCTACCACCCGCCGTCCCACCGCTTCTTTCACTCTCGCGACGTCACCTTTGACGAGTCCGTCTCCTTCTACCGCCGCTTCCCTCACCGTGGTCCCCCGGTTACTCCCCCCCTGTTCCTGGTCCCTCCTTCCCCGGTGGTCCCTGCCCCTCCCCCCCCCCCCCCGCCGCCCCCCGTCCGGCCCCCTCTGGTGTGTCTCACGTCACCCCCCTCCCGTCGGTCGTCCCGGTCGACGAGTCTTCTGACTCTGGTAGTCCTCCGGCGCAGTCCTCGCCGTCTGTCCCTCCCCCGGTGTCTCCTCCTCCCCCGCCTCCGCAGCCGCCGTCGCCGCACCTGCTGCAGACGTCGTCTCCACCGCCGCCGCCGTTGCAGCCGTCGATGCAGCCGCCGCCGCCGCCGCCGCTGTCGTCCCTGCCGCCGTTTGTGGACTCTGGGGGTGTCCCTTCTGGGGGTGCAGGTTTGGAGGGTTCGGGAGGTAGCCGTCGCGCCGCTTGTGGCCCTGGTGTTGGTGTTGTGTCGCCGCAGCAGCAGTCCCCGCCTGTGACCGCCCTCCGTCTGCTCGGCCTCCCGTCTCCTGACACTGCGCCTGTTCCTCTCCTGCCGTCTCCCCCTCTTCCCGTCTACGGCCCCGTGTTCCCTCTGCCAGACTCGTCCCCGGCTCGTCTTCCCCCCCGTTCCCCTCCTGTGTCCCCTCCTCTGTCTCCTGACCCGACGCCGCCCTCACACGTCTGGTCTCGCCGCCCCGCTCGTGCTCGTCCTGTCTCCCCTGTCCCGCGCTCTCACCCTATGTTGCTCCGTTCCCACCCGTCTCGTCCTCCCCTCCTCCCATCTCCTCCTCCGTCTTCTCTTGTCGTTGCGTCTCCTCCTCTGTCCGACTACTTTCGTGCCGCTCGTCCTCTTGTTCCTCGGGTCCTTGCCTCTCTTGTTACCGACCCGTCTGTTCCAGTGTCGAGTCTTGACGCCCTCGTCGCTGCGGTCGCTGACTTCGCCTCTACCCGCCGCCTTGACTACGCCACCGCTCTGGTCTCTGACCCTGCCTGTCCTCCATCTGTCGGGGGTGCTCCTGCCCTCGGCAGTGACGTCCTAGAGGACCGCCAGTTTGAGCTTGCTTTCCTGTCCGAGGCTGCTCCCCATCTCTGTTCCATGCTGCTAGTCCCTGAGGGTGACCCAGACGCTTTCGACATCCCGACCCCTCGTACTTACGCTGAGGCGGTTTCGGGACCCTGTGCCTCTCAGTGGATAGCTGCCATGGAGCAGGAGATGGCATCTTGGAGATCCACCGGCACCTTCGTCGACGCAGTTCCCCCACCTGGGGTGAACGTGGTCGATGGCCGCTGGCTCTTCAAGGTGAAGCGCCCTCCTGGAGAGCCGCCTGTGTTCAAGGCGCGCTACGTGGCTAGAGGCTTCAGTCAGCGCGAGGGGGTGGACTTCTTTCAGACTTTCGCTCCTACCCCGAAGATGACTACTCTTCGGGTTCTGCTACACGTAGCGGCTCAGCGTGACTACGAGCTTCACTCCCTCGACTTCTCCACTGCCTTTCTTCAGGGCAGCCTTCACGAGCAGGTCTACCTGCGTCGCCCTCAGGGCTTTACTGGCACCTTCCCCCCTGGGACCCAGTGGCTTCTGCGGCGGCCAGTCTACGGCCTGCGTCAGGCGCCTCGTGAGTGGCACGACACTTTGCGTGCTACCCTTGCTGCCCTGCAGTTCTTTCCGTCCTCTGCAGACCCCTCGCTCTTCGTTCGTGCTGGCTCGACTCCGTTCTACATCCTTGTCTACGTAGACGACCTGGTCTTTGCCACTGCTGACAGGGACGCACTGGCCTCCGTGAAGGCAGAGCTGCTGAAGAGACACACCTGCACTGACCTTGGAGAGCTGCGCCGTTACCTTGGCTTGCAGATCTCCAGGGACAGAGCCGCGCGCACCATCACCCTGACTCAGTCACACTTGGTGCGCCAGGTCCTTCAGAGGTTCGGCCTTCAGTTCTCCTCCGCACAGCCCACCCCTCTTCCTCTGGACCACAGACTCTCCGCTCCAGTTCCTGAGGAGTCGGTAGATCCCAGTGGTCCTTACGCTGAGCTAGTGGGTTGCCTCATGTACCTTATGACTTGCACTCGCCCAGATCTCGCATACCCTCTCAGCATCCTGGCTCGGTTCGTGGCCACAGGCAGACACCGACCTCAGCACTGGTCTGCCGCTAAGAGGGTTTTGCGTTATCTTGCAAGTACATCGGGCATGGGGTTAGTGCTAGGCGGACGCAGGCCAGTGGTCCTTACTGGACACACAGACGCTTCTTGGGCAGACGACGCGGAGACGCTCAGGTCTTCCCAGGGCTACTGCTTTAGCCTTGGCTCAGGTGCTGTCTCGTGGAGAGCTACCCGCTCTTCGTCTGTTGCCCAGTCCAGCTGTGAGGCCGAGATCTACGCCGGTGCCATGGCGGCACAGGAGCTTCGCTGGCTGACCTTCTTGCTCACTGACTTAGGTGAGCGGCCTAGCTCTGCCCCGGTCCTGTACGCTGACAACAGGGCCATGATCCTCCTGTGTCAGGAGCCTCGACTTGAGGGCAGAGCGAAGCACATCCAGCTGCGGTACTTCCTCCTGCGTGAGCTACAGCAGCGTCGCCAGGCTCGCGTAGTACACTTAGCCTCCGGTGCCAACACAGCTGATATCTTTACGAAGGCGCTTGCGCCTAAAGATCATCAGCGGCACTGTGTACAGCTTGGTCTGGTTCCTGTAGTCTCTCACTTACTCGGGCCTTGACTTTGTACTGTCCTATATATATCTGTGTGTACACTCAGACTGGACTTGTGTCCTCTTACAGTGGTTGGACTAGTAGTGCCGCCCTGTACTAGTTCTTGCCTTGCCTGTACTCCTTCTGACTGGTCTTTTAGACCCTTGTCTCAGAGGCTGGACTAGTAGTGCCACCCTGAGCTGCTTGTCTAGAACATTCCCCTATGCAGTCCAGGGGGTGTGTCAAACATGTTTAGTTATCATGCTGGTATAGACTGTATAGGGTCATCTTCTAGAGAGTACAACTGTTAGGTATATGTTTGTGTACTCACTTCCTCTCAATTATCAATTTCACTGTTTAATACAAATACACATGTTTGACACAAGACCCTAGTCTATATACCCTTGTACTCACACATTCTAGTTCAATCATTCTTTCTGATAGAAGCTGCCAACGGGCCGTCACTCATCTCATCTCAGTCAGCCCCTCGCTCCCCCAAATCGCCCGCTCCCATCTCGCTCTGTCATGGCACGAACCCGTGTGTTGGCATGGCCTGACGACAGGTGCCTTTAGGGCGGAAGTCTCCGCCGTGAGCCCGACAGGATTCATCACGGCAGGGAACTCGGAGAGTGCCGCCCAGCCAGTCACTCATGCCTACAATATCATATATATATATTATAACATAAACATCCTAAAGTTGTGAAATTCTGTTTTTATTTGTTTTAGGCTGATTTCTTTATTAGTTACGGTGGTGCACTGTTAGTTTGGTGCATTGTTTGTCTGGGTAGCGAGCGGTTGTAGGTGGGGCTTCGCGGCAATGATCCAATTTGCCAGGGAAAGTGAGGAGCCAATCCCGAGGGTGTTGTAGTACATGGCTTCGTTTTGTGACTGGGTGTTGTTCCACTGTCTTGTGCTTTGCGTGCCACATCTGTTGTCGCGTAATAGGCTGAGGTGCTCGTAACCGATCGTTTGAACACGCCCGCCAGGTCGTGTCACATTTTCACTTCGTCGCTTGTACAGTATCTGCGAGCGACATCGCTCAAGCCCAGCGAGCTGCATCTCATCTCGCTGGTGGTGTTTTCTCTCCGCCAGGCGTAGAGGGGCGATTTTCCTGTCCCTTAGCTCTCGTTCACTTCACTCGTAGTCCAAAACCTTCGGTTTTGCAAAATGGCTTCTTGGGATCCTCGCTCTAAAGCTCAGCTGCTACACCACAACACATCTCATCCGACGGTCCAGAAGCGCTACCCGCAACGTACCCGTCGGTGAAGGCGAAGGAGGGGCGGAAGGAGTCGGGCAGGTTGAGGCGGTCGAAGTCGGACGGCGCGAAGCGGCCCTGGTACGCGATGTTGTGTGTGCAGAACGCCACCTTGGCCTGCCGGAACTGCCCCTCCTGCTGCAGCTGCTTCAGGTACGCCGGCAGCACGCCCGTGTGCCAGTCGTTGGCCACGAACACCACGTCCTCGCCGTACGCGCCCGAGTAGTACGGGTTGTTGTCCAGGCGCAGCACCTTGGGCGCCATGAGCGCCGCCTGGTTGAAGAGCGAGAAGCGCAGCACGTTGTCGTCGTAGTCCACGCCCGTCTTCGGCCCGTACACCTTGCTGCCCGTCTTGCCGTACACCTTCGCCAGGAACAGCGGGTGGTCCACGAACACGCGGTCCACGCCGCGCTTGTAGCAGTGGAAGAACCGCACCTTCTCCACCGCGTCGCCCACCTTCACCTGCCGGGTCGCGTCAAGCACACGTCATGCGCGCACGCAACCAACCACGTGTCAGCAATCACATTATGTGCTTTATAGATTAAACGGAATTCAGAGACAAATTGAGGAATTCAACTGAAGCTGAGCAGAAGGTTGGTATCATGAATAATTCAGAGTCCACTACTCACATCAATGATGACGTCAGTGTCCCAGGCGTCCTTGTACTGGTCGTAGCGCGGTGACACCGTCATCACGCGGTGGCCCCTGGCGGCGAGCGCGGGAGGGAGGCCGCCCAGCACGTCGCCCAGGCCGCCCGTCTTGCTCCAAGGCGCCACCTCGGCCGACACGAACACCAGCTTCATCCCGGGCTCCGTCTGCTCGCACCGCACCGCGCCCACCTTGCCCTCGCCGCTCTGCACCGCCGAGGAATTGGCGCGCAGCTGAGCGGCCTGCGAGGTGGTCTTGGAGCCCGCGAAGGCGGACGCCGACTTGAGCCCATCGAAGCGCGCGATACTGGCGGTGGCGAGGCCGGAGACCAGGGGCGAGGCGAGAGACGCCTTGCTCGTGGAGAGGGACGCCTTCATCGCGGAGGAGACTGGAGCAGCCGCCATGATTACAAGCGTCTGGAGCAAGGAGAGGGCGTCGGATGACCGGAGATGTGGGATGTGAGACGTGTGGAACGCGAGGTTACCTTAAAAAAGGATTTCTCTTGCTATACTGTAAGGAAGTTCTTGCTCTTATAGGGAAGGCTGGGGATGGTGGTCGATGTGAGCGTGGGATGTGCTCGAGGGGGGAGGCGCTTGCTGCTGTTGGATCTTGGGTGTGTCGAGTCGCGGACAAATTCATTCAGGTGACGTGGCACTAATGGAAATGCTTTCCATAATTTGGAACCGCTTCCGTTGTGCCGAACCTTGTGTCTCTAGAGATTCCTTCACCCAACGTGTGGCCTGGAGCGAAAGTCCTTGCTTGAGCTAGGAGGCTCGGACGAAGGCTCGTCACCGACCTCAGGTGTAAATCAAGGACTGGCTGATGCATATTTCCAAGATCTCTGGAGGACGTATCAACTGAACCAGTTAACATCAAGGGACAGGCAAGATGATGGGAATGACTTACACGTAGGCGAACCGAATATGGCCTCCTGGTTTCTAGGAGGGGCTCCAAACGGATGGCCAGGACAACTCTCGATCGACATGGGTGCTTCTAGTTGGCATCCTCCGCGATATACGGAAGCCGTAGTTCTAGTTGGGGGTAGCGAAAATCGCGAGGAGTTGGAGGCCTCAGTTACTGTTTCGCTTTTTTCGTCACCCCGAAACCAAACCTTCTGGATTTGGTTTCGTGCTTCTTGAGATCGTCGCTTTAAATCGTCTGCACGCTAACTAAGGTCAGGAAAAAGTATTCTAGCACAGTGCATCTTAATTTTAGTTCTCAGCATCCGATGCTGAACCTTGGCAAGTCCCACCCCCTACACGCTACTAAACTAATTCTCAGGACGTTTGTTGACGTGATCACTGTTGTGATATATGAAGTTTTGCATGTCAAACATATATATAGGTTATGTTTGTATAGACTGTATAGGTTCGTATCTTAGAGGGTACAACACTTAGGCTTATACCCTTGTACGTTTTTCTCTCGACATTCAATCCTACGTTAAGATGGTATCGCGCTTGGTAGGTAGGTCCCTCCGCCCACGCTTCCGCCCTAGGCCCTCGTCGCGCCGCCCTTAGCCCGTCGCGCCTGTTCCTAGCCGGCCCCCTGCGCCGTTCGCGCCCGTCCTAGCCGGCCCCCTGAGCAGTCGCGCCCGTCCTAGCCGGCCCCCCTGAGCCGTTCGCGCCTGTCCTAGCTGGCCCCCTGAGCCGTTTGCGCCCGTCCTAGCCGGCTCCCTGAGCCGTCGCGCCTGTTCCTAGCCGGCCCCCTGCGCCAATCGCACCCGTTCTAGCCGGCCCCCTGAGGTGTCCGCCCTTCCTAGCCGGCCCCCTGAGCCGTTCGCGCCCGTCCTAGCTGGCCCCCTGAGTCGTTCGTGCCCGTCCTAGCCGGCCCCCCTTGCGCCGTTTGCGCCAGTCCTAGCCGGCCCCCTGAGCCGTTCGCGCCATTCCTAGCCGGCCCTCTAAGCCGTCGCGCCTTTTTCTAGCCGACCCCCTGAGCCGTCACGTCTGTTCCTAGCCGGCCCCCTGAGCTGTCGTGCCTGTTCCTAGCCGGTCCCCTGCGCCGTTCGCGCCCGTCCTAGCCGGCCCCCTGAGCCGTCGTGCCCGTCCTAGTCGGCCCCCTGCGCCATCGCGCCCGTCCTAGCCGCCCCCCCCCCTGAGCCGCCGCGGCCGTTCTAGTTGGCTCCTAGTGCCGTCGGGCCCGTCCCAGCCGTCGTGCCCGTCCCAGCGGTCGCACCCGTCCCTAGCCGGCGCCTCCCTTGAAGCGTTGCGCCCGTCCCTAGCCGGCCCCTTGCGCCCCCGTCGCACTCGCCCCGTACCGACCCCTTGAGCCCGCCCCTTGTTGGCCCCGCGCCCTCTCCTAGCCGACCTCTTCACGCCCGCTCCGCGCCGGCCCCGCGTTCGTTTCGCCGCCGCCCACCTCCGACTCGTGCCCGGCTCATCCTTCCCGACCAGCACCGCCAGGCACCGCTCTACATCGCACAGCACCGCACTACACCGCGCTGTACTGCTCTGCACCGCACTGCACCGCTCTATACCGCACAGCACCGCACTGCACTGCTCTGCAGAGTTTACTACTATAACGGGAGCTTCTGCGGAAGTGCCAGACACAGATAGAGCTCTCTAGTTCTGTCATTCTCTAAGGAAAAAGTTGCCTTCAGAATTGTGTGTTTCACTGAGTAGCTTTTGAGAAAGCTTGGGCACACAAATTCACTAGAATCAAGATTACGAAGTATATAAAACAAGGCAAACACTAGTACTACCCCATTGAACCTCATTAAGCACGGCAAGAACGTTCGCACAAGAACGTTTACAGAACGACTCTAAGCTGCGCTTAGCCAAGTCAGCAATGGCAGGTGAAAATTACAGCACATGCTTAGTTGGTAATTTTTACCTACTTAGAGGTAGTTATTCGAACAGTTTCAGATATGAAACTGTCAGATGTTAGGCACATTTCCGCAGTTACGAAATGTGTGTCACGTGTTCAATTTCTCAATGTCGCAGGTAGATTTTGCCGTTTTTCGGTCCAGATCAGTTCTGAGGTTAACTAACGAAATCGCAAATTTCTCGCGATTTCGGAACGGCACCTTCATCAGAAAAACTAAGTCCTCGTTTTTCTGTCGAAGGGTCGCTCGCAGAAGTGAACTCCGAGATGACTCTCTGCCGCGCTTCTACCGAATTTCGCTTCTGCCGAGGGGGTCGTCAACAGAAGAGATAGCTGAATTGCCTTTCTGCCTAACTTCGACAGAACGCAATTCTGCGCGAACAGGTTCTTGCGCCATTCTGCCCAGGGTCCTGCTGGAATGCATTTCCGAGAGTCGCTTCTGCCGAAACGGTCGCCCGCAGAAATGTCTTCTGCGCGATACTTCTGCAGAGGACAACCCTTCTGCGAATGGCCAGTGGTGTTAAATCGGCAGAGGCTCTTGCACACTCTCGTTTCTTCCGAGACCGCTTCTACAAAAGCACAGAAGTCTGTAGAAGCCATATAGAGAAAAAGTGCTCCTGTTCTGCCACTCCGACAGAACCGCTTTTCTGCCACCAACGAAAACTGCTCCTCCGCTACTTCCCGCAGAGCCTCGCCTTGTCGAAAAATCTGCTCTTCGTCGATGGGCGTATCTGCAGGGCTCGTGTCCGCAGACTTCGTTGATATGCCGCTTCAGCAGACTTCTGCAACCTTCGCATGATCAGGGCTACTCTCAACATGCACCGCACTGCACCGCTCTGCATAGCACAGCACCGCAATGCACCGCACTGCACCTCACAGCACTGCACAGCACTGCACTGCACCGTACAGCACTGTGCCGCTGCTGCATCGCTCCTGATGGCGGACTCCGTGCTCCGCTTCGACGCAGAGGGACAGCCGATCGAGTTTGACACGTGGTTGGTCAACTCACTGGCCAGCGGCAGGACGGCCACTCCCTGGCGGTCCACCTTGACGGTACGCTCCCCTGCCCTGACCCCCCGGCTCCCCTGCCCGCTGACCCCTCGTCCGCAGACCGTGAGTCTGCTGCAGCTGCTGCCCTTGCCCGCTCAGTTTGGCTGTCGCGTGACGCTGTCGCGCAGCTTTCGATTAGTCATGCCCCCCCCCTCTCTGAACGCACACGCTTTAGGTCAGTCGCAACTGCGCAGGAGTTTCTAGAGGCCGTCGTCAAGCGCTATTCCACCCCGCCTACTGCCTCTGTAGGTCGCCTGATCCTGCCGATGCTCTTCCCTGACCTTGCGCCCTTCCCTACTGTCGCTGACCTAGCCGCTCACCTACGCACGATAGACGCGACCTGGCGTGCTGCCTGCACTGAGACCCAGCTTAGAGCCTTTCAGCCGCCCCTCTGCTCTGCCCTCTACCTGCTTGCTGATCGTCTTGCTACTGCTCGTCTTGCTACTGGCCGCCTCCCTGATCGTCTTGCTACTGCCCGCGACCACTTTCCTTAGCACCCACCCTGGTGACCTCACTCTCAGTGACTTTGTCGACACCCTGACTGCCATAGAGACCCGTCAGTGCCCTATCGCCCAGACCTGCGGTACTATGCCGGTCCCTATCTTTCAGGGTTGTGCCCCCGCTCAGTGCACCTTCTCCGACGGTTCTGTCGTTGTGGCTGAGTCCGCAGCTGCAGTGCACATCCGTTCCGCGAACGGCCGCCGCCCCAAGGCCGGGCGCGGCGGTGGGGGTGGAGGTGCAGATGGAGGTGGTGGTAGAGTCGGGTCGCCTAGTGGTAGCGCTGATGAGGGGACCCTGACAGGTGCAGCCGAGCAGCCGCCTCAGCAGCCGCAGGTGTCACAGCCGGACACGCACCAGCCGCAGAGCAGCCCTCGCACCAGCCTCAGCAGTCGCAGCAACCGCAGCAGCAGAGGTGGGCGAGTGGCCTCCTGCCCGGGTGGCCTGGCGCTGGTGGTGGCGGTGGACGTGGTGGTCGTGCACGTGGTGGGCTGCCGGGTGGCGGGTCGGGTGACGCGCGCTGTCAGTACCAGCTCCAGACCGGTCCTCGCCGTAGTTCTGTTTGCGGTAAGTTCAGTCACACCTCCGTCCGCTGTTTCCGTCGCCTGGACGACCTGTTTCATCAGCGCTTCGGCCCGTCGCCCGACCTCCCCGACTGGCATAGCTTGTTTCGCCGTAGCATTCAGATCTTTGATATGGACTTGGATGAGATTGTTGCTGCCCTGCATGTGATGTATGCTGATGACTCTAGTGTGACTGCTTCTTACTACCCCTTGTTGCCTAGTGTCGGCATGTCTAGTCTTGCCTCCCCTCCTGCGTCAGGCGTAGGATCCCCTGCATTGTTTAGCCTAGGTTCTACTGTCGCTGCTCTGTCTTCAGACGCCACCGCTGCGCTCTCCTTCACCCTCGACTCTGGCGCTTCTCGGTGTTTCGTCCATGACTCCACTATGCTGACGCCGCTTGCTACTCGTGCTGCAGTTTCCCTTGCCGACCCCTTCTCCGGCCCGGTAGTCGCTTGCAGTTCCACCACCCTTCCCTGTCCGGCAGTTCCTTTGGGCTCTCTTACAGGCCTGCACATCCCCTCGTTCTCCAGTAACCTAGTTGGTGTCAGCTGCCTCCAAGACTTTGGCGTCAATACTACGTTCCCTGGTCACGAGAGGTACGCTGTCTGTACCGAGGCTGCCACTGGTTCCCCCCTCACCACGTTCCCCCGGGACCCGATATCCGAACTGTTCACACTGGACACTGCGACCCCCCTAGTAGGGACATCTTCTCAGGTGGCTGCGTCTACCCAGGTTGCTGCGGCCTGCTTCTGTCGGTCGCTCACTCACCCGACACTCATGTGGCATCACCGTCTAGGTCACCACGCCCTCCAGCGCCTACGTCACATGTGACAGCACGGTCTTGTCCTAGGTCTGCCAGGGTCGTTGCCCTCCTCCCCAGCACCACTGTGCATGCCCTATGTCGAGGGCCGGCTTTGTCGTGCCCCTCACTCCTCCTGTTTCCCCCCTACCTACTACAGACCGCTACAGACCCTGCACATGGACGTCTGGGGCCCCGCCCCCGTCGTTGGGCCGCGTCGAGAGCGCTACTTCCTAGTGCTTGTCGATGACTACATGCGTTACACCACCGTGTTCCCCCTGGAGCGAAAGGCAGACGTGCCTGACGTTCTCATCCCGTGGCTTGTCTCTGCGCGTGTCCACCGCGGTCTCCCTGTCTTGCGTCTCCACTCCGACCGTGGTGGCGAGTTTGCCTCTGGTGTCCTTGGTCGTTTCTGTCGTGCGGAGGGCATCACCCAGACGTTCACACTGCCGGACTCCCCGCAGCAGAATGGGATCGCTGAGCAACGCATCGGCTTGGTCATGGAGGTGGCCCATACCTCCATGATCCATGCCGGTGCACCCCATTTTCTGTGGCCGTTCGCTGGTCGCTACGCCGCTCACCAGCTTAACCTGTGGCCGCACCCCCAGCAGCCGCATGTTTCGCCGACCCTTCTTTGGTCCGAGTCTCCTGGTGACGCCTCTGCGTTTCACGTCTGGGGCTGCCTTGCTCACGTTCGTGCCTCTGGAACGGACAAGCTCATTGCCCGCACCCTCCCTTGTGTCTTCCTCGGTTTCCCCCTTGACGCGTCCGACTGGCACTTCTACCACCCGCCGTCTCACCGGTTCTTTCACTCCCGTGACGTCAACTTTGACGAGTCCGTCTCCTTCTACCGCCGCTTCCCCCGCAGATGTCCCTCGGTTACTCCCCCCTGTTCCTGGTCACCCCTTCCCCGGTCGTCCCTGTCCCCCCCCCTCCCCCTCCCCGTCCTGCACCATCTGGTGTGTCTCACGTCACTCCCCTCCCGTCGGTTGTCCCGGCCGAGGAGTCTGCTGACTCTGGTGGCCCTGTAGCGCACTCCTCGCCGCTTGCCCCTTCCCAGGCGTCGCCTCCTCCGCCGCCTTCGCAGTCGCCGTTGCCGCTGCTCTCGCAGCCGCCGTCACCGCCGCCACCGCAGCCGTCGCCGCCGTAGACGCAGCAGCAGTTCGTTGACTCTGGGGGTGCTGGCGCTGGGGTGGGTACTACCTGTCGTGGCTTGTCCCGGCGGGCCTGTGGGTGGTACCGGTGTTCACGGGGTTTCGGGCCCTGGGGGTGTTCCTTCTGGGGGTGCTGGAGTGGAGTGTTCCGGAGGTAGCCGTGGAGTAGCTTGCCGTCCTGGTGTCGGTGTCGTGCCGCCGCAGCAGCAGTCGCCGCCGGTGTCAGCCCTTCACCTGCTCGGCCTCCTGTCCCTTGACCACGTGTCTGTGCCTCCCGTGCCGTCTCCTCCCCTTCCTATCTACGGCCCTGCGTTCACTCCCCCGGACTCGTCTCCGGCTCGTCTTCCTCCTCGTTCCCCTCCTGTGTCCCCTCCTCTGTCTCCTGACCCGACGCCTCCGTCTCACGTCTGGTCTCGCCGTCCCTCCCGTGCTCGCCCCGTCTCCCCTGTCTCGCGCTCTCACCCTATGTTGCTTCGTTCCCACGCGTCTCGTCCTACCCTCCTACCGTCGCCGCCTCCGTCCTCTCTTGTTGTTGCGCCTCCCCCTCTATCTGACTACCTTCACGCCGCTTGTCCCCTTGTTCTTCGGAACCTTGCCTCCCTCGTTACCGACCCGTCTGTTCCGGTCTCATGTCTCGACGCTCTTGTCGCTGCGGTCGCTGACTTCGCCTCTACCCGCTGCCTTGACTACGCCACCACTCTGGTCTCTGACCCTGCCTGTCCTCCGTCTGTCGGGGGTACTCGTGCCCTCGGCAGTGACGTCATGGAGGACCGCCAGTACGAGCTTGCTTTCCTGTTCGAGGCTGCTCCCCATCTCTGGTCCATGCTGTTAGTCCTTGAGGGTGACCCAGACGCTTTCGACATCCCGACCCCTCGCATTTATGCTGAGGCGACCTTGGGACCTTGGGCCTCTCAGTGGATAGCTGCCATGGAGCAGGAGATGGCATCTTGGAGATCCACCGGCACCTAAGTCGACGCAGTTCCTCCACCTGGGGTGAAATTAGTCGATGGCCGCTGGCTCTTCAAGGTGAAGTGCCCACCTGGAGAGCCGCTGTGTTCAAGGCGCGTTATGTGGCTACAGGCTTTAGTCAGCGTGAGGGGGTGGACTTCTTTCAGACTTTCGCTTCGACGCCGAAGATGACTACTCTTCGGGCACTGCTACACGTAGCAGCACAGCGTGCCTACAAGCTTCACTCCCTCGACTTCTCTACTTCGTTTCTTCAGGGCAGTCTACACGAGCAGGTCTACCTGCGCTGCCCTCAGGGTTTCACTGGTACCTTCCCTCCTGGGACCCAGTGGCTTCTGCGGCGCCCTGTCTACGGCTTGCGTCAGGCTCCCCGCGAGTGGCACGACACGCTGCGTGCTACTCTTGCAGACCTGCAGTTCTTTCCGTCTTCCGCAGACCCCTCGCTCTTTGTTCGTTATGGCCAGACTCCGTTCTACATCCTTGTTCACGTAGACGACCTGGTCTTTGCCACTGCAGACACCACCGCGCTGGCCTTTGTAAAGGCTGAGCTGCTGAGAAGACACATACGCACTGACCTAGGAGAGCTGCGCCACTACCTGGGCCTGCAAATCTCCAGAGACAGAGCAGCGCGCATTATCACTCTCACCCAGTCACACTTGGTGCGCCAGGTCCTTCAGAGGTTCGGTCCTCAGTTCTCCTCGACATTCAATCCTACGTTAAGATTGCATTCCTGCAAGTTCCGTTTTCAGTGCGGCTAGCGGTATCGAGTTTCTCAGTAAGCAACCATGCCCGAGTGCTGATGTCAGCAAAGCATCGCGGGTCTCGGGATTACGTCAGCATACCGTTTCAGTTACGCGATTAGGCGTAACGAGTCGTTTCAGTCACGCGAACAGTCGCGACCCTTAGTATGACGAATACGTCGCATAGCGCGCAACTAGCCGAACGGGAACTTTCCCTAGAGCTATAAATCCTTGTAATGCCTTTCTATTATCAACCTTATGTGCTCTGGTTATTCAACCTTCGACTACCCACAAGTTCATGTGCTCAGATTCACTGTTATAAAACTTCCACTGCCTTACTAGTCTACCACTCCAGCAAAGATCCTCGGTTAAGTACTTGTGGTTGCAAATTTTATCTCTAGTCTCTTGCACCACCTGTCAAATTCTTACATGGTATGAGAACTGTCTGGAATGAAAACTACTGTTTTACTAGTCTACCATTCCAGCAAAGATCCTTGGTTAAGTATTTGTGGTTGCAGATTCTATTTCTAGTCTCCTGCACCACCTGTCAAATTATTACAATCACCTCCTCCCTTACTAACTCATGAAGAGTCGAGCTTAGACCAAATTGCGACATCCGGAGATGCCATGCCACACCAGAGCAGCTGCACAGGAATGTCACGCCATCCCAGATGGATTACCATTGGCCATTCCAAGCCAATTCCCCCTTCCCACCCATCTTTCTACTACCCCCATTTCCCATGCAATCCAACCCCCCTCACTGCCATCTCAGGCAGATGTCAAGATAGGCCACGATGGCAAGCGACACGGGATACAGCAAGAGGACAGGGAATGCCATCCAGGTGGTGAAGGTGTGGCGGCTGCCGCCCAGCAGGCCGACAATGAAGGTGTTGAGCAGGATGATGACCACCTCGCTGCTGAACTGCCACGCCAGGCCCCGGAAGTAGATCAGCGCCAGGAACGTGCCCAGACACCTGAGTGGGGGTGAGGGGAAGACGTGGGGAATCAGGTTGGGAGACGTGGGACGGAAGAGGTGAGACTCTTTGGAAACAGGCAGCTGGCAAGGGGGGAGAGGGTAGGGGGATATCCAAGGTGCGGTCTGAGAGAGTGAGGTTGTTGACTGGTTGCTGGCTGTCTGCTGCTTGGGGCATAACGTGTTGAGTAGGATGATGACCACCTCGCTGCTCAAATGCCATGCCAGGCCCCGGCCGGAAATAGATCAACGCCGGGAACATGCCCAGAGACCTGGGGGGGGGAGAGGGGGAGCGGACGGGGGTGGAGGAGGGGGGGAGGGGGGAGGGAGGGGAAGAGGAGATGTGGGGAATTGGGGGAAGTTCGAGGTGTGGAGGTGGAGATGCTTTCTTGAGAATGGCAGCTGGTGGTGGCTGGAGCTGGTGGCTGGAGCTGGTGGCTGGAGCTGGCTGGGTGGTGGTTGGAGCGCTGAGCAGGATGGTGACCACCTCGGTTCTCGGCTGCCATGCCAGGCCAGAACAGCTGGGCAGAGAGGGTTGGTTGGAACTCACATGGTGGTGTTCGTGGTGATGATGCCATGGATCTGTGGGCAGGAGGGTGAGATGGTGCGCGCTTGCATGTCATGCAGCTCAAGCCTGAGGCGTCTCAAACATCACCCCAAGTCCCTAGCCCTTCGACCCAAGTCACAAGTCCCAAGCCCACGGGCTCACATGGTGTTGTTCATGGTGATGGCGCCATACACCTGCGAGTAAGTGAGGGAGATGGTGCGCTTGCATGTGTGAGGCGCTCCAAACATCACCCCTAGTTCATACTTCCTAAGCCGAAGCCCCTAGCCCCTCGCCCCTAGCCCCTCGCCCCACACCCCTTGACCCTGGCCTCACATGGTGTTGTTCATGGTGATGTCGCCGTACACCTGCGAGTAGGTGAGGGAGATGGTGCGCTTGCATGTTGTTTGAGGCGCTTCAAACATCACCCCTAGCTCCTAGTTCCTAGGCCCTCGCCCCTCGACCCTGGCCTCACAAGGTGTTGTTCATGGTGATGGCGCCGTAGACCTGCGAGTAGGTGAGGGAGATGGTGCGCCGGCGCTTCTTCATGGCGAAGTAGAGCGACGACACCAGCTCACTCGCGTTCGACGCCAGTGGCGTCACCACAAACGCCACAAAGAACGCGGGGATGTGCGACGCCCTGCGGGGGGGGGGGGGGGGGGGGGAGGGAGGGAGGGGGAGAGAGGTAAGAGGGTTCTTAATCGCCAGCGGCGTCACAACCAACACAACAAAGAATGCTGGGATGTGCGATGCCCTGCAGAGAGGAGGCAGGGGGGAATGGAAGGGGGGGAGAGGAGAAAGAGCGAGACGGGAAGAGTGGGAAGAGGGTGCTTCATGCCAGCGGCGTCACCACAAAGGCCACAAAGAAGGCCAGAACGCTGGCAGCAGCAGCAGCCATAGCAGGAGTGTCAGTAGCAGGCATGGCAGCAGGCATGGCAGCAGGCATGGCAGCAGGCATGGCAGCAGGCATGGCAGCAGGCACGGCAGCAGGCATGGCAAGCTGCGCACCTGGAGAAGGCAGCAAAACCAGACTGATGACCGGGTCCGCAAACAAGCCTACTTTTGAGGCGCCTCAAAACCAGATTTCTATTGCTCGGATTTTGAGGCGACTCACAACTAGACTTGTAGCGCACCTGGAGAAGGCAGTGATGGAGTCGATGACCGGGTCCGCAAAGACCGCCACCAGCACCGCCCCACCTGCTATCAGCAGAATGGCCTGCACAGGGTGGAGATGGGGGAGAGCGGGGGGAGAACGGGGGACGAGCGGGGGGAGAGCGGGGGGAGAGCATGAGAGCAGGGGGACAGGGGCACAGGGACACTGGGAATGCAAAAGGGAGAAGAGAGAAGAACGAGAGAAGACAGAGCATGCGGGCCTAGACTAGACCTGAAGTGTGGTGGGACTTTATGGCTGACACTCATGCCACACGCCACATGCCACACGCCACATGCCACATGCCACATGCCACACACCAGCCTGCCCGCACGTCCGCATGATGCCTGAAAATGCACGGCAGGTCACAGCGTAATCTGCCCCTAGCAACAGCATGCACACTGCTCTCGGTACAGACATGCCTCCCCCCCCCTCCCACAAACACACCCACACGCACACCCACACGCACACCCACACACACACACACCCACACCCACACACACACCCACCCACCCACCCACTCACCCACTCCACACCAACCCACACCCACCCACACACACACACACACAAGCCCGCACCTCTCTGTAGATCTGGCCGGGCGTCTTGACGACCTGCTCCTCCTCCTCGTCCTCCACCTCCTCTTCTAACTCCTGCTCCAGCCCCTCCAGCTGCCCCTTGGCGTTGGCCAGGTGCCCTTCCAAAAACTTGGTGTCCATGCTGCAACGCGCCAGACAAGAGAGGGATGGGGAGAGGGATGGGGAGAGGGATGGGGAGAGGGATGGGGAGAGGGATGGGGAGAGGGATGGGGAGAGGGATGGGGAGACGGATGGGGAGACGGATGGGGAGAGGGATGGGGAGAGGGATGGGGAGACGGATGGGGAGAGGGATGGGGAGACGGATGGGGAGAGGGATGGGGAGAGGGATGGGGAAACGGATGGGGAGACGGATGGGGAGAGGGATGGGGAGACGGATGGGGAGACGGATGGGGAGAGGGATGGGGAGAGGGATGGGGAGAGGGATGGGGAGAGGGATGGGGAGAGGGATGGGGAGAGGGATGGGGAGAGGGATGGGGAGACGGATGGGGAGACGGATGGGGAGACGGATGGGGAGACGGATGGGGAGACGGATGGGGAGAGGGATGGGGAGAGGGATGGGAAGACGGATGGGGAGACGGATGGGGAGACGGATGGGGAGAGGGATGGGGAGAGGGATGGGGAGAGGGATGGGGAGAGGGATGGGGAGAGGGATGGGGAGACGGATGGGGAGACGGATGGGGAGACGGATGGGGAGACGGATGGGGAGACGGATGGGGAGTCGGATGGGGAGTCGGATGGGGAGACGGATGGGGAGACGGATGGGGAGACGGATGGGGAGACGGATGGGGAGACGGATGGGGAGACGGATGGGGAGACGGATGGGGAGAGGGATGCGGAGACGGATGCGGAGACGGATGGGGAGAGGGATGGGGGGAGGGATGGGGGGAGGGATGGGGAGAGAGATGGGGAGACGGATGGGGAGACGGATGGGAGACGGATGGGGAGACGGATGGGGAGACGGATGGGGAGAGGGATGTGGGGAAGGATGGGGAGACGGATGGGGAGACGGATGGGGAGACGGATGGGGAGACGGATGGAGAGACGGATGGGGAGACGGATGGGGAGACGGATGGGGAGACGGATGGGGAGAGGGATGGGGAGACGGATGGGGAGACGGATGGGGAGACGGATGTGGGGATGGATGGGGAGACGGATGGGGAGACGGATGTGGAGACGGATGGGGAGACGGATGGGGAGAGGGATGGGGAGAGGGATGGGGAGCAGGGAAGGACGGGGGAGCAAGTAAGTCGTCAAAAAAGCCCTTCCAGCTGCCCCTTGGCGTCTGTAAGGTGCCCCTCCCTCCCAGAACTTGCTGTCCGCACTGCAGGGCGCCAGAGGGGTGAGGGAAACGAAGGAATGGGTGAGGGGGCATGGGAATGGGAAACGAGAGTCAAGGATGAGGGAATGAGACAGCGAATGGGAAGGGGAATGTTACCAGCAAAAGGGGAAGGGAAATGGGAGGGGGAAGAGGGCCGAGGGGGAGGGGGTTGGGGAGGGCAAGGTGTGAGTGACCTGGTTCCTCGGAGCAGTGACAAGGCAGAGGGCCGATGGGTGGCAGATCACGACAAGGTGGCCATTTTGAGGCGCCTCAGAAGTGCTTGAGTCGTCTATGGTGGCCATTCTGTGACGCCATGACAATTCATTAGGAGCCTAATTCTGAGGCACGTTGATATGGGGAAGGAGAAGGGGGGAGGGGGGGAGGAGGGGGAGAGGCAAGGAGAGACCTGGTTCCTCGGAGCAGTGACATGGTGGAGGGCCGATGGGTGGCAGATGATGACAGGTGGGCGATCCATCGTTGCATGCCCGATACAAACTCCTCCTGCTCCACATGCCATGTCGTGCATGCCACGCCATGCCAGCCCATGCCACGCCATACCAGGCCATCCCAGCGCATGCCAGGCCATGCCATGCCATGCCATGCACACGCAGTGACAGAGGGGGTGTGTGCCTTTAAGAGGAGTGCTACAGGGGGGATGGAGTGGTTGGCATGGTGCGGCATGGGGTTGGCGAGATGTCATGGGATGCAACACAAAGCAGCAGTGTGGGATGACTTATGCTCAATCAAGTGCCTTCTGCTCAATCTTCCCATCCCATCCCATCCCATACCAATCCCATCCCATCCCATCCCATCCCATCCCATCCCATCCCAATCCCATCCCATCCCCCCCATGCCACACTCCCCCCCTTTCCTGCCTCACATGGCCTATCTCTCCGTCGGAGTTGGAGTCAAAGTCTCGCATCCATGCCGCCACCTCCTGGTCTGCTGGCACGTCCCCTGGGCCCTGTCACACACACATGCATGGAAATCACAATGAATGAATATATGTATGAATAAATAGATGAATAAATGAATAAATCGATAAATGAATAGACCAATCAATAAATGAATACATAAAACTGAGAGAGTTACAAGTGCAGAGGCCACACGACAGAAACGACTCCACTCCGAACCTAGCTATTGAACACCCTCCCTCCCCTCCTCCCCCCCCCCAGCTTCCCTCTCCCGAAGGTGGTTCCGAAATGCAATGATTCCGCAGCCTAATCCCCGAAACCTCCCTCCCCCCCCCTCTCCCCCTGTCCCCTCTTCCCCTGGACTCTCTCACCTGGTTCCTGATCCCCAAACCCAAAACCAGCCCCTTGAGTTCGCTGCGTGACAGCGTGCCGTTGCCATCCTCGTCAAAGTGCCGGAACACGCGCTGGATGGTCTCCAGGTTGGGCGTGCCGTCCGTGTTGAGCAGCCCGCCCCATGTGTTTTTGAGCGCCAGGTCGTGCAGGCTGTGCAGCGCGCGCGTGCGCATCAGGTGCACGCGCGCGTAGTGGATCTTGGACGACTGCAGCCAGGGGGATAGCACCTGAGGGGGGGAAGGGGGAAGGGTGGGGGGAACGGGGCGGTGGGGGGAAAGGGGGCGGAGGGAGGGCCAGAGTGAGAAAGAATGGGATTTCCCGGCATCTGGGTATCAAGCGGAGGGTTGGCTGGAGGTCAGGGGGGCTGGGTCCCTTGAGTGTGTTGAGCAGCCCGCCCCAGGTGTTCTTCAGTGCCAGGTCGTGCAGGATGTGCAGCGCGCGCTTGCGCATCAGGTGCACGAGTGCATAGTGGATCTTGGACGACTGCAACCAGGGGGATAGCACCTGAGGGGTGTGAAAGGGGGTGGGGGTGGGGGGGGGGGGGAGAGGGGAGGAGGAGGAGGCGGGAAGGGGGGGAGAGAAGGTCGACGCGAAGAGGTGGCTCTGTCGGTGAATAGAAGACAATCGGAGGAGCAAGTGAGGGTTAGTTGGGTCCCTAGTTTGCAGTGAGCAGTGAGCAGCCCGCCCAACCAAAGAGCAAGGGGAAATATGGGAATAGGCAGACCACGTGATTAATGCATGGATAGACAGACTGACGCATGCGCAGGTACAACAGACTCAAACCACGCACCAGCCGCATGCGCAGGTACAACAGACTCAAACCACGCACCAGCCGCATGCGCAGGTACAACAGACTCAAACCACGCACCAGCCGCATGCGCAGGTACAACAGACTCAAACCACGCACCAGCCGCATGCGCAGGTACAACAGACTCAAACCACGCACCAGCCGCATGCGCAGGTACAACAGACTCAAACCACGCACCAGCCGCATGCGCACATCAGTGCCATACTCACACCACATCCCATCGCACCACATCCCATCAAACCACATCCAATCGCATCCCATCCCATTTCACGGAACCCCCATATGGCTCAGTACGAGCCCCCATCCCACCTGGTAGGCGCAGTAGGCGATGAGCCCAGCGGTGGAGAGCAGCATGCCCAGCAGCGCTGTGATGCGCGCCTGGTACTCGGGGTACTGCCCGCCGTCCATGAATGGCACCTGGGGATCGAGGTGGCACGGGGAGGGCGGCAGGAGGGCAAGGGCAGGAGGGCAAGGGCAGGAGGGCACGGGCAGGAGGGCAAGGGCAGGAGGGCAAGGGCAGGAGGGCAGGTGGGTGGGTGGGTGGGTGGGTGGGTGGGTGGGTGAAAGTGGCAAGGGGAGGGGGCGGGGAGGTGTGGAGTCGCCCACACACTGAGCCTGGCACTCGGGGTACTGCCCGTTGCGCCCACCAGGAACAGCACCTGGTGTGAGTGCAAGCGGCAAGCAAGGGGAGGGGGGCAGGGGCAGGTGCTGTGTGTGTGTGTGGGAAGCAAGGAGGGCGGCAAGGGCAGGTGGTGCATGAGAGTTGCGTGGAATGTACCAAGCACCACTGCGCCCGGTGCTTGGGGATACTGCATCTCTGCCACCCATACACAAGTTAGAGCAGCACCTGGTATGGTTTAGGCAAAGGGGAGTGGGAGCGAGTGGGGAGGAAGTTGGAGCAAGATGCTGAGGGTGAGTGGAACCAGGGAGGCAGTGAGCATGCTATTAGATGGTGAAGGGCATCGCCCCCCTATGTAGGAAGGGTACCCCTGGTGTGGTCAGGCCAGGTCGCCGCACAGCACCATGCACAGCACCATGCACCTATGTTGACAAAAATGCTTTTGCTGGTTAGCGTTTTGCGTTTAAACGCAATCGTTTAAACGCAATCGTTTAAACGCAGAACGTAAAAACGAGTCAAAACGCTCGAGCGCACCTCAAAAAGTTTTTGGGCTGCCCGGAATCGAAAGTAAAAAACGTTGTGACTGGGCTAGGGTTTCTGGAAACGCGATTCTGAGAGTCGCGATTTCTGCGGGGTCGAATTTTGACCCCCGGGCTTCAGCCTGGCGAGAATTTTGCACGAAAATAGCGAAGTCGCAACTGGCAACTGCAACCAGACGTTCGCCATGTCACGAAATCCAACCCAACTCCCTCCCTTTCACCGCACTTAACTCCCCCCCGTCTACAACATCCAACATTTTCTCACAAATGCTCCACTCTCCCCTTCTCACCTCCCTTCCTGATTTGCGACAAGACCTAAAACAGCGCGCGCCAGCTCACGCAATTTCCGCTTAGCGTTTCATACGCTAAACACGTTTAGAGTACCATAGCCTCGAGTCGTGCTGAAGCCGAGCCGGTAGTCACCCCCTCCGCCATTCCCCACCTCCCCCCCTCCCCCCCTTCCCCCCTCCCTAGATATGGGCAAAAAAAATCACATCGCATCGCATTTAATCGCGTTTTTGCGATGGCGTTTTTTATTTATTTTTTATTTTTTTATTTATTTATTATTTATTTATTTAAAATCATCGCGCGATGCGATGAATTAATATCGCGCGATTTAATTCAAATCGCATTTTAATCGCGCTTAAAAAACGCGATTTAAATGCGATATGCGATTTTTAAAAAATCGCGCGCAATATTGCACTGAAACCTACTCTGAAACCACACTGGTTATTTGCACTCTAGCTTACGACTGCCCGTGAGTCAATTTCCCCGCAGCCATGGTTTTTTTCTGTTTTTTTGGGGTGTTTTTTAATTCTGTTTTAAAACGCGATGCGATTAAAATCGCATTGCACGATTTAATTAAATATCGCATGCGATTTTTTAATACATCGCAGGTAAAATGCGATGTGCGATTTTTTTTTTTTTTTTTCTTTTGTGGAAAAATAAATCGCGCGATGCGATTTAAAGCGAGAGGTTAAAATAGTGACCCCTCTTTCTAGTTGGACCCAACTAGAAACGACCCTTGAGCGAATGTTTTACTTCGCGTCGGGCAGCAGCCCGGATTTTTTTGCTTGTCTTGGGCCACGAAATCGAATTGCACCTGCGACGGAAATTTTATCGTGACAGATCGCACAGCCATTGGCATGCGCAGACAATAATTTCGACCAATCGGCAACCAGCCTTGGTTTAGCAGGCGTAGTGAACCCGGGTCCAACTTGAAATTCAAGTTGGGCCCACTAGGTTCAACTTGCGGGCAGTGGGGACTGTGCGACTGGTCGCGCGCTATTTGCGACTTGAGTTTGTTCGCGCCAAGTGCTGCTCATGCCACGTTTCCCACCAAACGAAACGGGGTTTCTCGTCAACCAATCAAGTAACTGCCCATGCTCGCGCAGTTTCCCCTGCTCGCATGTCTCGACAGTGAACCCCTCTGCCCCAACCAGTTTGTCCCTTAGTCGCTACGATGAACTTCTGGGCCCTTTCAAGTTGGACCCGCCTTCATTATTTTGACCACTCGCTTTAAAATCGCGTCGCTTTTTTAAACATCGCACCTGCATGCGATGCGATTTAAATCGCAATCGCGTTTTGATCATGTCTACCCCTCCCCCTTCTTTCCCCTGCCCGGCCAATTTTTTTTGGCCTGCCCGGGCACGCGTTTTCCGGGCGTATTTGAAGTCTAGAATCCTGCGTTTTGCGTCTTGAATGCAAGCGTTCAGAACGAAACGCAAAAACGCGGAAACGCGTTTATGCCAACATAGCCCATGCACAGCACCATGCACAGCACCATGCACGGCGGCATGCACAGCACCATGCACAGCGCCACGCACGCGCTCAGCAGCGAGCAGAGTGAGAGCAAGGCGGTACCTGCATGATGACGAACGGCACCACAGTGCCCATCATGATCCACGCCCCCAGCCGCGTCTGCTCGTCCGTGGTCACTCCTGCCACACACATTCAAGAGAAAAGGGAGAGGGAAGACGGGGGTGTGGAAGGGAGGGGGGGGAGAGAGCGGTAAGTTGAAATGAGAGAGCTCAAGCGAAGAGAGGTGAGTCACTGAGTCCCACCACTCAGATGTGCTGCCGACAACAACGCCCCTTGTCGTCACCGTTGTGGGGGCTGGTACAGGTGATGCTTTGGTCGACTCAAAACTCACCTGTGCCACCCTCACCATCCCCCCAGCACCCTCCCTCACCTGTGCGCCCCCAGCAACCCCCCTCACCTGTGCGAACCATGTCCCAGGGGCGCGTGAGCGTCTTGTCCTTGGCTACCAGGTCCCTGCCCCCGTTGGCCCTCTGCTTCTCCTCCAGGTCGCAGCGCCCGCACAGCAGCGAGCCCCCCCACGCCACGGTGAGGATCATGACGGTGCTGCCCGCCAGCACGCCCATGCCCACCAGCACCTCCTCCTGCGCCTGCTCCTTGCTGCCGCCCAGGCCAGACACCTGGTGCAAGGTATCCAACGGGTGTGGGGTGTGTGGGTTGTGGGGTTTCGGGCAGGGTGGGTGGGTGAACGAGGGAGGACAGATGATCATGATGGTGCTGCCCGCTAGCACGCCCATGCCCACCAGCACTCCCTCCTGTGCCTGCTGCTTCGTGCCGCCCAGGCCTGAGACCTGGGTTTGCACGCCCATGCCAGCACGCCCATGCCAGGACGCCAGCACGCCCATGCCCACCAGCACCTCCTCCTACACTTCCTCCTGAGACCTGTTCCAAGGATTTGGATGGGTGTGTGGGGTGTGGTGCATGGGGTGTGGGGTTTAGGGCAGGGTGGGTGGGTGTACGAGGGAGAGCAGGCGTGAGCACGAGGGATTGGGCAGGACGAAGTGGGCATCAGGGAGTGAGCACGCACAAGCATGAGCACAGAGTCTGGCAGGGCCGCCAGCATGGCATAAGACCGAGGTGGCTTTTGAGCCGACTAAAAAGTCACATTGGTGCAAACGAGCCGTGTAAGCAGGGCGTAGGCACACGAACAGGGCCTTCAAGCACACGAACAGGGAGTGACTGAGCACGTGAGCAGGGAGTGGGCACGTGAGCAGGGAGTGGGCACGTGAGCAGGAAACTCGAGCACGTACAAGGATGAGCACGGTGTCGGGCATGGGCCCCAGCATGGCCTAATACCGAGGTGGCTTTTGTGCCGACTCGAAAGTCACGTTGGTGCAAATGAGTCGTGTGAGCAGGGAGTGAGCACGTGAGCAGGGAGAGTTAGAGCATGCGAGCAGGGAGGTGGAGCACGTACGAGGATGAGCACGGTGTCAGGCATGGCGCCCAGCATGGGCAGGAAGAGCCCTCCGATGAGACCCGGGTCCAGCACCTGCCGGGGGAGAGGGGGAGTGAGAGGGGAGGGGCGAGAGGGGGGCGAGAGGGGGGCGAGAGGGGGGCGGGAAGTGAGAGGAAATGGGGGAGTGTGGGAGATGATGGGGGGCAGCAAGAGGTCAGGGAAAGCGAGGGAGGGACGGGGAGAAGTGCTAGTAGCGCAAACTTCGTCTCATCTCCAGCTGGCCGCCCTCTCCAGCTGGCCTCCCGCTACAGCTGGCCGCCTTCTCAGAGCCAAGCGTGTTGCAATGGTCGTTACACTGAAGTCGCCAAGTCTCGCCTCACCTACAGAGCTGATGACCACCGGGTCGCCCAAGATGCTCTCGCCTCAAGAATGCTTGGTGCTTTTGTTGTGAGCGTTCTTGTGTCTCGCCTCACGTTCTTGCTGATCCGTTGGGTGATGCGTTCGCCGCCCAGCGCAACTCCCAAACGCCAGAGACTCGTGGATTTAGCAACGCAACCTCTCTCAATCCAGAAACAGCCCACAACGCACCCCACACTCCACACCTCACAGCCCACAGCACACGCACCCCACAGCCTAGTGCCCACCACCCCACACCACAGCCCACAGCCCACAGCCCGCAGCCCGCTGCCCATAGCCCACAGCCCACAGCCCTCGGCCCGCAGCCCGCAGCCCGCAGCCCGCAGCCCACAGCCCATAGTGCAAAACCCACAGCCCACAGCCCACAGAGCCCACCTGCAGCAGCAGCTCTGAGCCGTCGGAGATGAGGCGCGCGGCGACGAGGATGATGTAGCCATACGCCGCCATGAGGAACGCGTTGCCCCCCACCGACGTGCTGCACGGCAGAAAGCCGTACACCTCCCTGGAAAGGGAAAGAGAAGGGGGGGGAGGGGGGAGGAGGGGGGGGAGGAGAGAGGAGGGAAGGGAAAGGGGGGGATAGCGGGATTGGAGAAAGATCACTGGCGATTGGGAGGGCGGGAAGGGGAGGGTGTCAGTGTGTTTGAAGCAGATTGCCCTTTAACGTGCATCCCTGCCGTTGAAAGTCACTCTCGTGCTCACACATGCCTCCCTGGAAGGGTAAAGGAGAGGGGTGAGGGGGGCTCGTGCACTTTAAGCCACGTGTCATGTGAGGCTTACTGCTCCACCGTCTGATGTTGCCTGCCACGGACGAGCTGCACAGCAGCATGCCATACATACATCTCCCTAGGGGGGGTTGGCGGGAGAGGCGACGGGCGGTGAGCAAGAAGAGTACAGTGAAGAGGGAAGAGTGACGATAGAAGAGATAAGAGAGAACCGGGAACAAAGAACAGAGAACAGAGAACAGAGAACAGAGAACAGAGAACAGAGAACAAAGAACAGAGAACAGAGAACAGAGAACAGACAACAGAGAAGAGTGAAGAGAGAAGAGAGACAGAGAACAGCAAAGAGAGCAGAGTGCTCTATGCAGCATTGCCAGCCACGAACACCTCCTCCGCATGAGTAGAAGAGGGAGTGCATGCGTTTCGACCAGCGTGCACTGTGAGTGCGCTCCCTCACATTGACAGCTGTACGGGAGGCATTTCATTCACACGCAAGGGCCGTCCCTATGACCACACCCCTATCCCATGCCTCCCCTGCACATGGGCAACAGCAACCCGGCCTAAAGCCTAGATCAGCCCCCACATGTGCCCGCATACCCTCCAACCCGTGGCCCCCCACACGCCCCCTTACACGCCCCCCCACACGCCCCCCCACACGGCCCCCCACACGCCCCCCCACACGGCCCCCCACACGGCCCCCCACACGGCCCCCCACACGGCCCCCCACACGCCCCCGCACACGGCCCCCCACACGCCCGCCCACACGCCCCCGCACACGCCCCACACGTATGCTTCACCCACTCGCATCGTTCCTCCTTCTCCGGCGACGGAGGCTCACTCAACCGCTCCCCATCTCTCTGCACCGCTGCCTCCTGCTCCTCCCGCCCGTCAGTGACGCTCACGATAGTATCGGGCCGATCCAACAGCAGGTGGCGGGGGACAGAGGAGGATGCACGGGACGAGGAGGATGGGGAGGAGGAGGACGATGACGACGAAGCGTAGCCGTGAGAGGGGAGAAGGGACAAGTGCCGTGCCACGCCAGGGATATCTGGGGGAAAACAAAACGGAAGGAAGGGTGGAGGAAAAAAGGTGGGGGGCGGGAGAGGGGGAAGGGGGAAGGGACGAGCGGACGAGGGAAAAGCCACGTGATAAGGCAACGAGATGGGAGCTAGGCGAGTGAGAAACTAACTGCCACATGCGACGGCGCTTCATCCTCCCCAAAAAAACGCACACACACGTCTCAAAATCAATCCTCACAGTCGGCCCACAGTCGGCCCACAGTCGGCCCACAGTCGGTTCTTACTGGTGATAGCAGCGAGCGCGAAGCACGTGGCCGCGAGCGCCGCCAGCGCGCCCACGTGCATCCGCCGCCTCTCATTCCGCCCGCCCATCGCGCTCCCCGAGAACGCCCGCGACACTCTGCGGACGGGGGGACGGGGGACGCAACGGGGGAGGGCATTTGGGGAGGGGATGGGGAAGGGGCATGGGGGGGAGAGAGAGGGGGATGGAGAAGGGATGCAGAAGCGATGGGATGAGGGTAAGGGTGGATGGAGAGGAGAAATCGAGAAAGAAGGGGAGGGGGAACGGTGAAGTAGGTAGATGCAAGACGGTGGGGAGGGGTGCAGCAGAGGAGGGGCGTGGAGCATGGTTGAGGGGAATGTGACGGTATAGGTTGTTCTCGGGAAGGGGGAGGGGTTTAACGGCTCTCGTTATGCGATGCCGACGACAGCGAAGGCGACAGCGCAGGCGACACATCGCATTGGTCCCACGAAGGGTGCTCGGCTATTAAGGGGAGGGAAATTTAACAGGACAACCTTAAGCGCTGACTCATGAGTCAACTGGCTGAGTTGAAGGCTCGTGAAGTCAAGTCTGTAATTCGAACGTCGCTGATCCGCAATTAGCGCTGACGAGCCACGCGCAGGCTGCAATTGACCGGCTTCGAGCAAGTGCGGAGAGTGACTGGTAATCACTCTGACGGTAATCGTCTAAACGAGCCGACAGTTTCGCCGGCGCTGCTACCGTGGATACACGTCAGGGATGGGATACAGCGAGTTCTGAGGAGCTTTAAAACGGGGACGAGACATACGGAGGAAGAACCAAGTTGGTGGTATAGTCGCTTGGAGAAGCAACGAGCAGGGGGGTGGGATCAGAGGCGTCGCTCCAGCAAGGGCTCGAGTCGAGGGAAGCTGGGTTACGGCACCCAAGTAGACAAGCAACCAAGATACAACCCCCCACCTCCCCCCGGAAGAGGAAACAAAAAAAACAGAAAAAAAAAAGAAAGAAAGAAGAAGAAGAAGAAGAAGAAAAAACGTCTCCTCTACTTGCTTCGATTACGCGAAACTATGAAGGGAATGCGTCAGGTGGAGGAGCAGAGGGAACCGAACGGACGGGAGTCGGAGTGAAACACGGATCTGACGGGCAACGGGCCTTACAATGCAGGTAGCAGGAGCCCAGGCCGCACTGAAAGCGTTTCACTTGAACGGCTGGCAGACGAAAGAGGCTCGACGGGTGAACCAATTTCGATCACTTCAGGAGAGTTTAAGACGAGGTTGACGTGAAGGTCTAGCTAACCCTTGCTGACAGGCGTCGTCTGTCGCTGGACACAACTAAGGTCAGCACGGTGACCTAAAACCTCCTACCGTTTAGTGCCTCAAGCCACAAGGGTTTGGTTCAACTGGGCCATTGTCAGGGCCAGGATACGTGCATACAGAATCCCGATTACTGATGAACGATAGCCTAAGGTACGGAGCTCTGTCGACGTTCTTGTTATCTGGTCCAACACGTCGGCAGCGGCATCCGTGCTGCCAGGAGATGGCATAGCCAGAGAGTGGAGTCCCTCTCAGAACACGGAGCAACTTGATGGAAGAAGACGAGGGCGTGTGCAAGGTGCGAAGACAAATACTGCTGGTGCACTCCATGCGGCCCCTTACTGCTGCGTTGCACTCTGCAAACAGCTAACTATCATGCTATTTGACCTTATTGCAGCTAAAAAGCAAAAACAACGTTAAAAAAACGCAAAGCTGACATTTCTGTTTGTTACCTGGTAGCCATGTTGAAAAGTACAGTACTTCAGAACGAGCCCGCACAATTTGGGGATCACTGCACAGCACCTCAGCAAGATGACAGGGGGCAGCAGCACTGTACCAGCGCGTATTGGATTATGGCGGGAGCTGAGGCTGGTCCCAGAATCTTGTCCGTTCGTCCCTCGCTCGGAGGCTGGTTGGCAATGCCCAATGCCCACAGGACCAACGGATCATCCAGCAATAACGCGTCAAGCCTCAGCAACAGTGTACTTGTATGCCAGAACAAGTGCGTGCTTTGTGTAATAATGTATGAGTCAACTATCATATTGGATGTACTACAAGAACATTGCTTACATGTAAAACACTTGCTTCATGTACATAAGCAAGGTAGACTTGGGGGCATGTTGTTCCCCTATAGTATGCTTCACAGAACAAGCAAATATACGATATGTTCACCACTCCAGGTTGTGGTCGCTAGAGCTATGGTTATTGGACGTATGTGCATTATTATACTTCGGCCATCAAGCACTAGAGAGCTTGAGGAGCAACATACGTTATGTCATACCCATTATTCCCCTCTACAATCTTACAGCCCTCTTTTAGCAACAGCATCATCCAGCTCCATTGTGTTAGTAAGCCCTTCCTATCTTCACCCTCCCCATCTCCCCAAGGCATAGCTGCAATCTCACATAACCTGAATCTCCTACTTATCCCCAATCATCCATTCTTGCTTCCCCTCCTTTCCCCCCAAACCCTCCCCCCCACCCCTCTCCCTTCTCCCCTTTTCCCTTCCCCACACCGTCTCTAGTCCGGCGCCCATGGGATTCAGCTCATTCCTTCACCCCAGAGCTCCGGTCGTCCCCGCTTCACCATCCGACATCTAGGATGCGCCCATCCCTCCGACTTATTGCCTTTGACCCAGTCTTAGTCGAGTTAATAATCAGTGACGCTTGGAAAAGTGTTGTTGCACCCTACCTCCCGTCGCTCATCTCCCCTGCGCGCTAAGCCGTTTCCCCGGCCCTCTTTTACCGCGAAGCTTCCCATCCTTAGCTCCTCCCTTCACTCCACCTCCCTGCACCGCCGCCGCCGCCGCCACCGCCGCTGGCTGCTGCTCTGTTTGACCCTCTCCTGCCGTCGCTTCTACCGCTGTCGCCTCTACCGCAGTCGCCTCCGCAGTCCGCTTCGGCTTGAACGGCTGTCTCGTCTTGTCCAGAGCGTACGAGTACGTGAGGTAGTGCGCCTGCGTGTGTCGCAGCAGCACGTAGTCCTTCTCCTCCATCCCCTTCTCCCACGTCGGCTTCCAGTCGCGGTCCCCGCGCATCTTCGCGCACTGCGGGGGGTCCCTCTCGTCCATCTGCCGCCAGTAGCACCCGTCCACGGACAGCCCGTGGAACCCCGCGCGGAACGGCGCGTGCGCCCAGTCGATCTTCAGCGCGCCGTACTGCGTCGCCCAGGAGCTGCCGTCCCATAAAGACGCCACCAGAAACATGGACGACGAGGGGAACGGGTCGTTCCCCACCGCGGCCTTGCACGCCTCGCGGATCAGAATCCCGTCGACGAACCAGCGGATGCAATCCGGATTGACCTGGAACGCGTAGTGGTGGTAGTCCGCCGCCGGGTCGAACCAGAGCTTGAGGCGCTCCTCGTGGCCGCCGACGCCCTGGCCGTACCAGTTGGTCTGCAGCACGACGTCGCTGGAGAAGCGCTCGCCGAGGAACTCCATGTCCACCTCGTCGTGGAAGTCGCCCGGCCACGACGTGTTCCACTCCGAGTGCAGCTGCGGGAGAGAGATAGAGAGAGAGAGAGAGAGAGAGAGAGAGAGATAGAGAGAGAGAGAGAGAGAGAGAGAGAGAGAGAGAGAGAGAGAGAGAGAGAGAGAGAGAGAGAGAGAGAGAGAGAGAGAGAGAGGAGGAGGAAGACGAAACAAGAGCAAACAAGAGCGAACAACGGGTTTAGCTCTGTGTAAGTGGTAACGGGCAGGCCAACAAGTGACATGGAGAAAGAGAGAGCACTAAGACCCGAGGATATGTAAGGCAAAGAATTCAAATGGATCCCGTATTTGGAAGACGGAAGGAAAAATAGCCTGGAAAGGTCGGACGGCTTCAAACGGCTCGTGAGATGAGACGTACGTAGAAGGCAGTGACGACGCCTGGCGTGTAGCCGGACGGCACCTTGATCCAGGCAGAGAACCACCCGTTGTAGTACGGCTGATTGGACGACCATCCAGATCCGGACACTTTATCGAGAGATAAGTCCGCGCGGCCGTCGTCCGATACAGTCACGTTCCCCCACGTCACGCGAAAGTCTTTGTGGAATGGATGCGATTGCTTGGCGGATACCGACGACGGCGTCGAGTCCTTGGCGGGTTCGGACATGAGCGCCTCGCAGACTAGCGGGCACAGGAGAACCGGGAGCAGCAGGAGAGCGGACGCGGGAGTTCGTAACCGAAACGATTTCGCCGATCGTCTCCGAGCTGACGAGTTCTGGCGATCGAGTCTTCGCTCTGCTGTTATTTCGCTTTTCGTCGTCATCGTTCGCAGCACTGCACTCTGAGTCTGTAGATCTCAGCGATCTAACGACAGCCGATGGATCGGAAGTAAATTTTTGAGGCGCCTCAAAACAGCCGATGGATGGGTAGTAAGAGTCAGCTGCGTTTAAGAAGATTTAAGGCCAGGCTCTCGTGAAGTTTAAGGAGATTCTTCAGAGGACAAGCGTAGGCTCTTGTGAAAGGGAGAAGGCTTAGGAGCGACGAGGAGTTGTAGTTGACAGCAAGAGCATGTCAAACCACAAAGCTACTATGTACTCACGAGTGAAACGGGAGCTAAGCTAAGCTAAGACGTGCGTCGTCGAGCGTGACGTTGAGGGACGAAGCACCTAGCAACTAACCTTACAGAGCCCTACCCGTCGGCTACCGTAAGCGGATAGCTTCTCTAGAAAACAAAGCTCTAAAATGCTGTGGATGGGAAAAGAAAAGGGACTCTGGGAGGCACGATAAGGAGGAGGAAGAGTCGCTTGGCTGAGGAGATTTCGAGGGGGAGCGCGGCCGCGGATGTGAGCGTGATGGGAGGGATGGGATGGGATGTGCTGGGATGTGAGGCTACCCGTCGGATGCTATCCTTGGGAATGATTCCTCTCCTGCCGTGTGTGTCGCTGGCTGCGAAACGATTCACCCACGCATCACGAGGGAGAGGCGGCGGCGGCAAGCCGAAAGTGGCAGCAGCAGCACGGACAATGCTAAGGAGCTCCCTCGCTTTGCCTGGCTTTCCCTGATTTTTCCGGCCGTGGCTCGAAGCGCGGCGCCTTGGGAGATTCGAAACATTGCTTGAGAAGCTTTGTTTCCCCAGCCTCTTCAGTTTCATGCGTCGCACGGCTCCGGTCTGCGACCCCACAACAGCCCTTGGCGAATCACCATCATCCCAAGGAGTGCCCCGAAACGAGGAAAAAAAAAATCAACTTCCAGGCAGATACCGCTAGGGAAGCCCAGGGTTCCTGCCCCTCACTCGCCCACGTTTCCCGTTCCGTCCGGCAGAATCAGCATTGAGGACAGCTCCCAGCCTCCCAGCGAGCTTTGGGTTGGGTTTGTGGAGCCAAGACGGAGGGAGGGAGATGCTCTCGAGGCGCCGTCGTCCCGAGGCGCCTCGGGCTTCGTTTCGTTTCGGGCTTTCTCTCACGTGAGAGATGGGTGAGCGACGGCTTGCCGATGGCACGTGGTGAAACGTGACGTGACGGGATGGGTTGGGTTGCGCTGGCCCATGGCTTAGTTTGATTACGAAGGGTTTCAATATGTTGTGAGTTCGGTTCAAATGGATTTTCCTGCTTTGCTGTGGAGATCCTGGTGCCTAGCAGACGGACCACATCATACATAGACGAGTCGCATCAAGAGGGTAACAATCGCGAAATCCCCAGACCCTGACTCATCTCCCTGGCGCAGCTCACCCTGGGAAAGGAGGCGCGAATTCCTCGAAAGTTACCCGAATCAAACGTCCAAAAGGAGCGGTTCGGCGCAGCCGTGCACGACGTTGACGACCTCCCCGTTCCCGTGCGACAGGACCAAGCCGTGCTTCCCAAGGGTCGTTGCGATGGGCATGAATCCATGTGACCTCTCAGTGACGTGTGGGAACCTGGCTACGCGCCAAACCCTCGAAAGTTTCAGCAACACCCGCCGAAAAACGCTGGCACCTGGGTCTGGCACATAAGAGACAGGCCTGGAGAACAAAGCTGAATAAATCTGCTACAGAAACGCTTTCTACATTCCGTGTCAAATTTAAAATGTGGTTTCATGTGTAAGGAGACACATATTGAAGGGACATAATGTCCAAATTATGTTACCTTGTGTAACACTTCCTGATGTTTATTGTTGTGATATGATTCATACTTAGCATTTCTGTAAGTCGTTTATCGGTAGATAGTGTCGAATCCTACTGAAGAAGAGAAGTCTGTAGGATGACGTCAGCAAATAGCGCTCGTCATGAGGACAGTCGTTTCACCCACGCGAACAGTCGCATCTCTTCATTATCATCTAGAGCGCATAGCGCGATAGTGACGAACAGGTACATTAGTGAATAGGTACTTTCCTAGAGCTATAAATCATTGTTGTGTCTTTTTATTATTAACCTTGAGATTTCAACTTTCACACTTTAAACTTGACTTCTACAGAACTATACTCAAGTTCATTCTTATAAGACTTCCGCTGTCTTACTAGTCTACCATTCCAGTAAAAGTAATTTTTTGAAAGCGTGTAACGCTTTATAAAAATGTGTATTGTGAAAGTGTAGCGAGGGCTAACGCAGCAAGGACAGCGTCGAAGCACTACTTGTCAAATATATGTATAACTCATATTTGTATAGACTGTATAGGGTCACCTCTTAGAGGGTACAACACTCTTAGGTATATACCCTTGTTCTCTCCCTCTATGCAATTATTCAGTTTTCTTTTGATATGGTATCACCCGTAGGTTCGACCCCCCACCCACCTACCGCTTCCGCCCATTCCTCCTAGGCCTCGTCGCGCTTTCACCTAGGCCCCGTCGCGCCGCCCCCACCTAGGCCCCGTAGCGCCCCTCCTGGGCCCCTATCGCGCCTCCTAGCCCGTCGCGCCCCTCCTGGGCCCCTGCCGCGCCTCCTAGCCCGTCGCGCCCCTCCTGGGCCCCTATTGCACCTCCTAGCCCGTCGCGCCCCTCCTGGGCCCCACTCGCGCCTCCTAGCCCGTCGCGCCCCTCCTGGGCCCCTGTCGCGCCTCCTAGCCCGTCGCGCCCCTCCTGGGCCCCTGCCGCGCCTCCTAGCCCGTCGCGCCCCTCCTGGGCCCCTATTGCGCCTCCTAGCCCGTCGCGCCCCTCCTGGGCCCCACTCGCGCCTCCTAGCCCGTCGCGCCCCTCCTGGGCCCCTGGCGCGCCACCTAGCCCGTCACGCCCCTCCTGGGTCCCTCTCGCGCCTCCTTGTCCGTCGCGCCCCTCCTGGGCCCCTGCCGCGCCTGCCCGGCCCCACCGCGCCTGCCCGGCCCTGCCGCGCCTCCTGGCCCCGCCGCCCCTGACTGGCCCGCCGCACCTGCCAGGCCCTGCCGCGCCTGCCTGGCCCCGCCGCACCTGCTTGGCCCCGCCGCGCCTTCTGGCCCCGCCGCGCCTGCCCGGCCCTGCCGCGCCTCCTGGCCCCGACGCCCCTGACTGGCGCGCCGCGCCTGCCTGGCCCTGCCGCGCCTGCCTGGCCCCGCTGCACCTGCCTGGCCCCGCCGCGCCTTCTGGCCCCGCCGCGCCTGCCTGGCCCCGCCACACCTGCCTGGCCCCGCCGCGCCTTCTGGCCCCGCCGCGCCTGCCTGGCCCCGCCGCACTGCCTGGCCCCGCCGCGCCTGCCTGGCCCTGCCGCGCCTCCTGGCCCCGCCGCCCCTGGCTGGCCCGCCGCGCCTGCCTAGCCCTGCCGCGCCTACCTGGCCCCACCGCACCTGCCTGGCCCCGCCGCGCCTTCTGGCCTCGCCGTGCCTCCTGGCCCCGCCGCCCCTGACTGGCCCGCCGCGCCTGCCTGGCCCTGCCGTGCCTGCCTGGCCCCACCGTCCCTGCCTGGCCCTTTCGCCCCGGCTTGTTCTGCTGTGCCGCCTCGGGCTGCGTCTCCTCCGCTCGCCCGTGCTGAGGCGCTTCGTGGCCACTGTGCTGGAGGGGGCTGTAGCTGAGTTCCTGTGGAGCTGTGCCGCTGACCCTGCACGATGGCGGACTTCGTGCTCCGACTGGACGCCGAGGGCCATGCGGTTGACTTCGCCGCCTGGCTCTCCGATCTCCGCCGCCACCTCACAGGTCAGCGTCAGGATGGCCACTCTTTGGTTGTCCATGTTGACGGCTTGCTCCCCCGCCCCCCTGTACCTTCCCCCCTCCCTGCTGATCCCTCCTCTGATGACCGTGAGACCTTCTCTACTACTGCGCTTGCCCGTGCGGTCTGGGACTCCTGCAATTCAGTCGCTCAGGTAGCCATTAGCCATGCCCTTCCTGTCTCTGAGCGCTCGCGTTTTGCTACTATTGAGACGGCCAAAGCTTACTTAGACGATGTTATTGCCCGCTATTCCACACCCGCGTCTGCTTCTGCTGGTTGCCTGCTCTTCCCTATGCTTTTCCCAGACCTTGCAGCTTTCCCTACCGTCGCAGACTTTGCCACTCACCTGCGTGCTCTAGAGACCCGCTATCGCACTGCCAGCACTGCTGCCCAGCTCACTGCACTCCCCCCCCCTTTCTGCATGACGCTCTATTTTATTGCCATGCGCCTGCCAGACCGCCTCGCTAGTGCTCGCGATCACTTCCTTAGCCAGCACCCGGGTGACCTCACTCTCACTGCCTTTGTCGACACCCTCACCGAGATCGAGACTCGCCAGCGCACTATCGCTCAGTCGAGCGGTGCGCCGGCAGTCTCTATCTTTCCCGGCTGTGCCCCCTCCCAGTGCACGTCCACTGACGTTTCGGCTGCGGTCGCCACGGCGACCCCTCTCACCGAGACGGCTGCTGCGGTCCACCCGCAGCAGCGCTCGCGCCGCGGTGGCCGTGGTCGCCAGGGTGGTAGGGGTGGTTGTGCAGGTAGTGGTGCTGGTGGTCGTGAGAGTAGTCCGTCCGAGGGGACTAGCATTGGTGGTCAGGAGCAGCAGCCCCAGCCGCAGCAGGAGCAGCCCGCGCCGCAGCCGCCGTCCCAGCAGCAGCCGCCGTCCCAGCCGCAGCCCCCACAGCAGTGGGCTCACCTCCCCCCTGTTTGGCCCGGCTCCTCAGGGGGTGGTGGCAGTGGTGGCGGCCCGCGCAGCTTGGCGTCTACCAGCGGCTCCGGTACTGTCACCTGTCAGTACCAGCTTCAGACCGGGCCCCTTCGCGGCACTCTGTGCCGCCGCCCGCACCCGACTGCCCGCTGTTTCCGCCGCCTCGACGATCTGTTTCGTCGTCGCTTTGGCCCGGCCCCGGACCTCCCCGACTGGCACAGCCTGCTGCGCCAGGGCGTGCCGATCTTTGAGTTAGACATGGATCAGATAGGTGCTGCTTTGCATGCCATGTATTCTGACGTTGCTAGTGTTGCTGGATCTTATTATCCTGTGTTCTCTAGTTTAGGTGTTGCACCGTTGTGTAGCCTAGCCTCCCCTGCTGCGTCAGGCGTAGGACTGCCTAGTTTGTCTAGCCTCGTCTCTGCACCGGCTCCGTTCCCCGCCCCTGCCACTGCTGCGCTGTCCTTCACTCTCGACTCCGGTGCTTCTGCCTGCTTCTTCCGCGACCGTTCCGCACTTACGCCGCTTGCTACGCCAGCTGTCGTCTCTCTCGCCGACCCCTCTGCGGGTCCTGTCGTCGCTCGCAGTTCTACGTCCCTTCCCTATCCAGCCGTTCCCTCGGGCTCCCTTACTGGCCTCCACGTTCCCTCATTCTCGAGGAACCTGGTTGGTGTCGGCTGTCTCCGAGACCTCGGCGTCACCACCACGTTCCCCGGGCACGAGCGGTTCG